AACTTCGCTCCATAATCGATCAGCTCGAACGACGCTCTCAGGTGAAAACCTCATCGTGCCGACTGCTATGCCGGCTGCATGCCGACTGCCGACAGGCCGAGTCTGGCTGCCGCAGGTCTTCGAACGGCTGTTCAGCGCCAGGCACCACGCCCCTCGGGCGGTCTTCCCTGGATTCAGCATGGCACCTTTAGTTGCCGTAGTGGCCGGTCTCCTTCTCTTGGTCGGCGCTCGATCGACCGGCACAACCCTTGTGGTCAGGGTCGGGGCGACTTGGGTACCGTGAGAGATGGCAGCTTCATATATCGTACTTCCCTGGCCCGCTTCATCTGCATCCGATGCGGGAAAGAATTCAATCGACGGTGTGTTGGGGAGAAGCATGTGGCCAAATATCACGGCACCACCTCACCCAGAGAGACTATACGGGAGACGGATGGAGTGATTCTGGTGTCCACAGTGGGGTAGGTGCTCGCCCCAACTGTCGTCGGCGCCCCGTCGTTGGAGGGTTTCAGACACTGCACCAAACCAGAGAGTACAATCAGCAATGGAATACACATCTCATGAGCCTCTTGGCACGATCTTGAGATCAAAATACTTGGCCACCTTGCTTTCCACCACTCTCCGTGTCCATAGTCCCTTGGTTCCTTTTTTGCGGATCAGATGTACAATCCATTGAGGTGCCTCGGCCAGAAACCGATGTTGGGCATGGGTGCGCTGCCCTGGGGGGACCTTGCTGCAATGGCCATGGATTAGTTGAAAGAAATCCAGTATACGTGGTTGTTTCGCCAGCGCTCGGTTCACGCCTTGCATGGTGTTTGTAGTACGTGTGCCGTCCAAGATCCACTTTGTCATTGTCGTCGTCAAGGTCGCTTGGTGAGCTAGAAGAGACGCAGTGGCTTTAAGGTAAACCGTCGAAGGGTCCGTTGTACGTGACAGAGCCCAGGCCAAGGCAGTGTGACCTTCTTCATCAGGCGTATCAATGAAGACGCCCGGCAGGGCCAGGAGAAAGTCGACGGCCGTGGGATGGGTCCGAACCAGATGCGTCAAGAGAGGAGCCCCAGAAGGATGAACAACAGCGTTTGGGTTCGCTCTACATTTCAAGAGCCTGTTGACCAGAGCCTTCTTGGCATGCGAGGTTCGGCCTTGAATTTTCAAGCAGGCCATTGGTATTGTGATCACAAAAGCTTGGTCTGGCTCGAAGCGCGCGCCAGATACCTCGAGGGCGTCGAGGATGCGAAGAGCGGCGGTGAACCGGCCGGTATGACAGGCGTATTCCAGTATAGACATTCTTTTGCTGTCATGAAATACCTTCTGCTTGGGGTTCGCAACACAGCGGATCAGCTCGGATATCATCTCGTCATCGGCAAACGGCGAGCGTGTCGCGTAAGACAACGGAGTGTACCCGCAGCTGTCTCTAAAGTCGACATCGATGCCATGCTGGTCAATCAAATAGGCGGTCACCTTCTGCAGGCCCATGGCCGCGGAAGCATGGAGAGGGCTGATGTCGGCCAGACGCGGCAAAGCGCCATGAGTGCCGGAAACGAGGCCGAGAATGCGAGATGTCATCATATGGCACGGATGGAAGCCGTGCTGTAACAGATGTAGAACCACGGTATCTCGACCTTCCTCGACGAGAAACTCAAAACAAGAGATCGCAACAGATCCAGAATACATGTCTCTCAATCGAGATTGCGCCGAGAGAAAGAGATCCCGGTAGACCCTTCGTGGCAGTCGTAGATGTTCAAACTCCTTGAGGGAAACACTTTGTTACATTCGTAAATCCGCGCCTGCCCTGATGGCCTTGTTCAGGACCGAAATGGCGACATGGTCTTCTTGGCAACGCGCTGCCCAGATGGTGGACGAGGCACTCGAGCATTGAACGTTGTATGCATACAATAAGGGGGTGTAGGTTTGTAACAGTTGCTTGCAGCTTCGTAGGAGCGCCGATATGGAATTTTGGCTACAGCGGCTGATGATTCCGTTGAGGAGCTCGGGAGGGAGGCGACACAAAGAACCATGCTGGATGACCGTGCAGTCAGAAGTGAGATCGCGGGAGCCACTGGGTGCCATGCTGGTCGTAGTGGATGCCATGTGCGCTTTACTCGACGTGGATGGTATGATCAGCGTTATGCCGATGGGCTAAGACAAGGTGGGCTAAAAGGGTGGGCTAAGAAAAGCTCTAGAGGGAAGAATAGGTAGGTGAACCGTCCTGACGACAGGAATGTACTGAGAAGGGCGATCAAGTCCTCTTCATATACACACATGCGCCACTCAGCCTCCGGACCGGCCGGCGGCAGCCACGGCTGGCAACCCCACCTGATGGCACAGCAGGAAGATATGGCCAGGCCTAGATGCGTCACGACTTGAAATGAGAGACGGACAACGTCCAACGCGAGCCGTGGGATGGTAGCGGCATTGATTGGCTGAGGGCAGAGGGACATGGGAGGTAACAGGGTGGGAAGTGGAAGGGTGGCAAGCGGACAGGCCAAAAAAAGGGGGATGTATGGAGACAATTAAGCCGCTTCTGATTCCGCCCAGACTGACAGGCCACAAGCAATAGACCACAAACTTGATCACGCCCTCTTGCCTGTCGCGCGGGATCGATATGGCCTGTCCGGGTCGGCCTCGCCACTTCTGTCTTGACCTGTGATAGCGCCGAACGTCTGCTGCCTTCCCCTGCTTTCCGACGATGCCCCTTGCCGGGATACGTCACAACATGGCCACATCACACCAACCCTCAAATCATCATTCAGGTCGCGGCCTGGCCACTCCGCACGAGTGCCTTGGGAGATGTCGTGCTTGAGTCTCGTGCTCCATGCCAGACGATCCCTCACGCAGGTGGGCAACACACTATGGCCCCTATGGCCTAGACTGCATGCCGTCTACACCTTCCCTGTTTTTCCACATTCATTCGCATGCTTTGAGTGTGTTGAGGGACTGTACGGCAAGTGGCAAGCAAATAGTATAAATCTGGAAACGCTCCGTCGGGTTGCCGTCTTCATCCTGCCCGCCATCTCTGCTCAACTATACGCCTATACAAGAGCCTCACATCACCTTTGTTCCCCTTTCATCTTGCCTTCGCTTGATGGTGGCTTAGGCCTGTCCATATCCATATCCATTTCTCAAGTCCTTCTACAACATGACTACTCTATCGCCGCCTCTACACCCTGCGTCCCTGGATGTGGGCACGGCCACCGCTCCGCTGGAAGAATACACAGCCGAGGCAGTACGACGTGCCGCGGAAGCCTTGATTCAGATCCGTGCTGGAGACTCTGGAGATGCTGGAGACTCTGGGAACGCCGTCGAACCTTCTCAACAATGCCTTTCGCCAAGCATCATCCAGGATAACGTGACGCAAGTCTCAGAGGCATGGTATGACGGAGATTCGACACTGTCCGCGGCCCAGGACCTGCATGATGCATTATGGGCCAGTTTCTCTGCGTCTGGCACTCCTTTTGGCCTGACAGACTCCATACCATGCGGGGCTTGTAGCGATGCGGCATCTGCTGTCTGTGACATTTGCCCGCGCAACGACGGATGTGACGATACAGTGTCACAGCAGCTCAGCTGGGACATCTTGGACACTACTCAGATAGATTCTATGACACAAAGCATAGACTTCACCAGCTTCACCCCGCCTGATGTCTGCCTTGCCGAATGGACTCTGGATCTGGACAGGGAGCCCTTGGACGCAGCGTCCCTAGAGGATGCGTTTGCCCAGCTTGAGACAAGACGGCGCGCTGAGCAGGCCTTGAGCTCGTCTGCCACGCCAACATCACCAGTCAGCAAGCCGGCCACGTCAGCCGAGCGTGGTCCGCTTTGTAACGGCTGTGCCTCTTCCCTTTCCAACGACAGCTGCGCATCGTTGTCGCTGCCGTCACCGCTGCCGCCGCCGCCATCGCCACCAGCGACTCGAGCAAGACGACCACTACCGAGTCATGGAAGGCCCCGTGAAGCGCGACAGGACTACTTGTCCGCAGCGGCGAGTCAGCGCGTAGGACGCAAAAGGGGAGGGAAGCCGCAATCAAAGACGAGGCGAAGAACACGACAACGCGCATCAAACCAACAACGCACGCCACAGCAGCGTGGAGCCGGTAAGGAGTTTTTTCTGGCATCAGCAGTCGCCTTCCAAACGGACAACCACGAGCTAGTGTTCACACCTCAGCGAAGAAGCCGGGTCTGGGTGTCCGAAGCTGGCCCGGCAAGGATCGAGCTTGAACCCGAAAGTCTCCCGGAGACACCGCGCTGGATTGACGTCCACCCCGGGGGCGTCGCTAGCTATGCTGTCCGGCTGTCTTGGCACGCAGATCTAGAGCTTCTCTGCGGCCTGGACGAGATTCGCGGAATGACGCTGGCGATCAGTCGTGAAATGGCACAAGACCTGCTGTTAGCTATTGGGGAAAGCCATCAGTTTGATTCTGAGGCTCTCAAGCTGCTGAGTAAAGGCCTCACGGAATAACGGGTCATACGGACCTAGTTGGGCCTGCACATTTCTACAAGGGCTTGTTGACGGCTGCACATTGGCTTGGTCTAATTTGGTATTCTGGGCGAAGGTCACAAGAAGTGAACGTAACTTGGTGAAGCTTTCCCCAGGGCGGAGACGTGAAGCTATGCATCAACGACCACCGCAGGATTCTTTATATCTCCTAGAGCATTTCTTTCAATTTTACGTATGAGATATGCTAGAAATACATATTGTTGTTCACATCGTGCGGAATGTCTGGTGTAGTCCTCCTGTCTTTACGTTGGTGCGAGAACAGCGGAACTGATATCAACATCCATCAGACGAGCACTTTCTCCTTCACAGGGCTAATTTCATCTGCTGAGCGAAAGGCAACAACATGCAGCACCCATGGGGTGTGCCGGGGGTTTCTTCATATGCTCGCTTCTCTGCAGCTGGCTGGCATACATGCCAATGCGAACCGACGGGAACGGCCACATGATGGCAAGACAACGACAGAGAACAAAGATGGTCACGGTAGCCAATTGCATTAGGAAAATATGATAAAAGAGGCTTCTCACGCTACGACTAGTGACTCTCTCTCCTGACTATGTCGACTCCTCGCTCTCCACATCGTTCGGGCTGTCCTCACTGGCGGTGCCATTTATGCCCCTACTATACCTGTATCTCGGGAACGTAAACCTGCTTTCTTCAGCCCGTTCGTGCTGCTCTAGACACTTGGTCAACCATTGATGGCTGACGATCCAGAGAGGTTCCCGATCAGGTCGTTGAACATGCGTGACGACATGCTCGACGAGAGAGTCGAACCGATCGAGTTCCTTCTCTGTGACGCAGAAGTGCGTCAAGACATCTGGCCGTACATCAGCCCTGTGAGTACCACCTAGCCTGACAATGGCGTTGCGCACACTGTCGTAGCTCTCACCCCCTTTGGGCAAAGGGAAGCTGCTCGTGAAAGCGATCACGCAGCCCCTGAGTGGAGCACATTTTGGATCCTGCCGCGCATGCATAAGATGACGTGACACGGGCAGAAACTTGCCTCGTTTGTACGAATCGTGAAGCCATTCAAAAGGAACGATAGCCGCCTTCAGCTGCGTGGCTCGGAAGGCATCCTTGTGCAAATATCGAATTCTGTGGTACGTAGAACATAAAACATCTGTCGTTTCGTAGACCCGCTCATGGTAGCTACCGCCGAGCTTGTAAATCCAGGTCTTGACCTCTTGCAAAGAGATCCCGTCAGGCAATGGGCAGCTCACGGCGATGTTCGGTGTCGGAAACATTTTCGGTTGGTGCGGGGATGTTGGTAGGCCATGGTCTGACTGTCGGGCAGTCTTTGGCGCGCATTCGCGACACGCCCTCATTTTGTAAACAGATCGCTGTGCAGAAACAAATATTCTCTTCGCCATTCTTTTCGCCGCATGCCAATCACGCAGAAGCCCGTTCTGACCATGGCCTCTATATCACTAGCAAGAAGTCAATCGTGATCTTCCAAGATGGATCCAGTAGCCTGCGCACGCGTGCGAATCTTGAAAAGTCAAAGGCTAATTCAGCGTTTAGACCAGCCGGACCAAAGCACGCATTCATTGGCCGACAGATCAAGGGGCCCGTCCGTCGTGGATGAGCAGGACTGGGTGGCGTCAGGGCGCCTGTCACAAGCACGGACCACGTGTTGTCTGATTCGACTTCAGGTCGAAGGCGTGGTGGAAGGCATTGTTCGTGATTTGATTGCCAAAGTAGGCTTCTGATACGTAGCTTTTTCTTCTCTTTATGGCATGTGGTAGCATGTGGTGAGACGCGGACGGTATTTACTCTGTAGTCGACCGGTCAGAAGCACACGGACATTTGAAGCGCATAGCAAGAGCGTCCACGCGTCATGAGTGCTTCTCTGCCGCTTGCCGTTCGCAAGGCAAGAGGCGATTGCTTCAGTGGTTCGATCAATATTGTGATTGCCTGTCCACTTCCCCAACAGTTGAGCATCCAACTCACAAAGCTTTGGATTCGGTCCCTTGGCGGAACATATCAAAACCATGTCGGCTCGACCACGACCCACATTTGTATCGATCCAAGCCAATACTACTCCTCGAGCCATGATGTCAGGAGGGCGAGGGAGAGGCATATCTTTCTTGTCACTTTGGGCTGGCTACAAGATTCTTACGCCCTTGGCAAGTTCGTGGATAGTTGTGATTACGACCTTGCTGAGTTGTGCGGACATGCCGCCCCGTTGCGTGGGTGTGTGATTGCCTTCACATCCAGCTATCCGCGACCTCGTGGCATTTATGGCTTCAAGCTTGTCGAGGACAATATTGTCAGCTTGGGAGGGCTGTGCGATCAAGATAGTGAGCCTATTCACACCCTGACACACCTTTGCGCGACCGAAGAGGAGATTCGCCATCAGGGCATTTACGTCAGAAATGTCCTTCATCGGGCGAGGAGCGAGGAGGACAAGTCACTGTATCTCGTCAACCACCAGTGGCTTGCGGAATGCCTGCGTCAGGGAAGAAGGGTGGAAGAAGACCTCGATGCCCTGCCGCTGACTTGGTGATGAACATGGTGACTCGCAAAGCAGACGCGGAGAGCGCAAAGCGGAGGGGAAAGCAAGAAGACGGGACGTAAAGACGGGGCAAATTGAGTATGGGAAAGCCACAGCCAGGAAAAAAGAAGAAAAAGAAAAGGTCAGGCCTATCGTCAAGTTAACCATGCCCCTCTGTGCGTGCCACTGCTGTGTGGTCCTACTGGGGCTCCAGTCGAGGAACGGGCGGCCGGATTCACATGCAACCAAGGGTGTCCCTGCATCAGACAACCTTGTGGCAGTATATAACGAGAACTACAACCCGAAGATGGATCTGACGTCCAGATGACGCCCTGTGCGAGGTTGATGAACCAAGCTTGACAACGGGGTCTGATGTCTATCAATTGACCGATTGCCGGTTGCTCTGGGCCGTTACGTGAGGTCGGCTTCAGGACAGAATCACGAATATCTCTCTATAAAAGACGGCTGTCCCCAGCGTAAACCAACTTCCGAATAGAACTTGCTTTTCTACTTCACACCCTCACCAACCTCTGTACTTTCGTCATGCCCCAACCTGTCAGGCTTTCCCATGCCCGGCTCGATCAATCCGACTTTAACGACCATGAACCACGAGCGTGGGTCGGAACCCACTCCGGTTCAAGCAACCTCGTCGACCGAGGGGGCAAAGAACAAAGAGGCAGGTGAAGGATACCAAGGCGTCCTAGCAGCATTAGAAGGTGCACCGACAGCGCCTACCATTGCATTCCAGTCCCCGTTTACCTGCAGAACGTCTCTCCCGGCCCAGGTAGCAACTAGGCACACTCGTGTCTTCAATCCGAGCACTTTCGAATAACCACCAGCCTTTTCGGGTTCCTGGCCAAACGAAAGGGACCTACGGGAGATCGGCGTGGAAGAGACAAACGGAGACTGGCTCGGTCACGAGTCTTCGCTCCCCGCGATGTCTCTTCCTTACGCATGGGAAAGTGTCTCTTACGAAGGAGAGCAGAAGCTGGTTGACGACCGCATCCGCTGCACACTCACCTGCCGGACCTTCAATGGCGTTATGGAGCGCGTTTCCGGCGTACTACCCACCCCTTTGGTTCAACCGGTACAGCAGCAGTTCCTGTTTGGCCAGATCATATACCCATTGTCCTGGGGGCCCTCAAACGCAACCAACCGAGATGCTCGACATCACTCACCAAGCTTCACAGTAGAGGCCCCATTCAATTGCAGGTACGGATATAACATCATGATGGAGAGAATGTCACAATCGGACAGCGATGGTACTTTGGCGATGGCGCACGAGTAACGATCGGCGAGAATTCCATCATTGCACGCGGCGTCAATATCATCACAACAGATGACCCCGTCCAATTCGATAGACGTCTAGGATGTTCACGGGCTAGTTAGGAGCAGACCCGTCACGATCGAGTCGTCCTGCTTCATCGGAGCCGGGGTGTTCATCTGGCCCGGTGTGCGCATCGGTGCGGGAAGCAGCGTCCTACCTGGGACCGTTGCCATATCGGTAGTGTCTCTCCTCGAAGAAATTAAGTCTCTCATTGACTGTCTTCAGGATATCGGGCCCGCAGCTTTGGTTTTCGGAAATCCCCAGCAGTCTGTCGGCTTGCCTTCGCAGGTATCAGAGGCGCCCTGGTAGAGCGGGTGGGTGAACAGACTGAAGAGGTCCTCCGCAGGTGATATCCGCAGTTGTTAGGTATAGGGTGGGAATACATCTGGCCCTCCGCAGACAGGAGGGCCCCCCGCAGCTCTAATGTATACGCTCCGTGATGTCGAACCCCCTAGATTAGCCCCTGAGCCCCCGGTTTCCACGTGCTCCGCGAGTGTCTTCTGACAATAATCGAGTTGTGCAAGTTGGCCTTGATGTGCAAGATGCATTTTCAAAGCCATGCTTTGAAGGTCCATGGGACAGTGCCGCCAGGTGGTTGAATTTCGCTGAAACATAACGCTTGACAGTTATGAACAAGTCCCTTCCTCTTCCGCCGAATTCTTTTCTTCCTACGTCAGTATCGGTACTTCTTGGTACAAAAAGCTAGGTCATGTCATAATATCCAAAACTGGACTACTTTGAGTCACTAGTGCTGAAGTTCAAAGTACTTCTTCGTACTTCAAGTAAGTGTACCAGCAGGTCGAGCTCATCCGCGGGCCTCTCATTTCCGTCAATCTTCACGTCAGCGGCGCCACAGAATTGTACCAGCAGAAATGCCAAATTACCGGCGCTATTGTTACGGTCACATGATACAAGTTACAGAAAGGCGTGGAGGGTCAAGAAAGAATGGGCTCTCTTTGACTGGGTTATAGTGCGACAGTCGCCAGCTTGAGCCTATCAATTACTGGAGCAGACCCCTTGCTGTTTTCGATTTGAGTCTAACTTGTTCCGCCTCCACCCATTCGCGAAGCCAGGGATCGACGCGCCTAGATCAAATATCCGACAAGTTCAGCTAGGGGTATCAACTCGAAGTCCTCTAGTAGCCTCGTCTTGCAATCCTTCACCGACGGAACGCTGCCGCAGACTGTGACCAAATGTGACGAATACTGTTCTCCACGGTCGCATCTGAGATCAAGTCTTACTTATCAGCGGAGAAACCCGGATATCTAAGCAAAAATTGGTATTCTTCTTATGCCACTTCGTAGTAGTACATGTCGAAGCTCATGATTGGAAAAGTTATTTGTCGATGAGGTTGTGTGATTCCGATCCCCATGAAACCAAGACGAATACATTCGACTTGCTTACATCAACGACGTACGCCCTAATCCCCAAGTAATTGCCGTTGGATGCCCGGAGATCATCCATAGCTATCAGACCGGCAATTCGCCTGCTTTGCGGGTTGTGTGACCCTTATGAGAAGCACTTGGAGACTAGGGTCCTTTGATTGATTCGTGAAAGTGTGACGGGGAAGAGGTGCGCAGTGCAGAACAGAGGTGTCCAGTGTACGGAGTGGCCGCAACGGGGATAGAAAAAAAAAGGTGGAAAGAAGGAAGTGGGTGGTGTCTAGGGGCTAACCTTCTCCCTCGACAGCGCGAGCTCAAATTTAACCATCGGCAATTTGCATTTAACAAGCGCGATGCCGCTCATACCTTGTACATTGGCTTGAGATCCCGTAGTCTGAACCAGGCCTGAAATGAGTCCTGCGTTAACCAGGGCAGACCGACCGAGACTCACACGACTATGATGCCGGGATGCCTGGAATGACCTTCAGCGCTCAGACGGCGGCCGCCAACAGTCTTAATGCACCACTTCAGATATTTCTTGACACTTTGGTCGATATGGTGATCGTTCTCCCGCTAGTAACGCTTAGAAAATGCCCTTAATTCGATAAAGGAGTCTTCGCAAATAGGAATCAGGTGCGTAAAGTAAGCATGCTAAATTTATTACTCCTAAAAGTAGCCATGACGGACATGCGACGTCAGTTAAGGCTCAGAGGCATTTTCGAGCACTATAGTGTCTATTTATGAAACAGCCAACGTCGAGGCCGGCACCCTCCGTAAGTACGTTCGACGAGGCATTTTATATTCACTAAGAACCTTTGCGGAAAGGGAAGGAGACCTCGTTGGGAAGAAGCGTCGTGATTAATACACTGGAGTTGTAACTACTGGCTATGCACGTTATAGGTCACTTTCGTACAGTACTTGCTCATTAAGATTATCAAAGGAAATGACAATTCCTGACGAGTGCGTAGCGCTCCGTACGCCCAGGTATGCGTACCCGTTACGGACGGACCTCTGAGCAGTCCACATCAAAACGGCCAGGATATTTCGTCACCATGTTCTTCATGGACGGGAACCAATGCATCTTCACTTCCCCACCGGCTATGTCGGCTTTGACTCCGGCCCATATATCACTCCATTTGACCGAGGCGGCAAAAGGAGCAATCTAATCCTGCATGCCAGGTACTACAGTTGTAGCATGAAACGAAGGCTTAGGGGAAGAAATACATCATGACCAACCTCAGGTTCCTGCTCGGGGCAAACCTGTTCGACAAGGTAGAAGAAGCATGCTGTCTGGGCGCATATGAGCGCGGTCTTACTTGTCAAAACAATAGAACTCCGTATGAAGGTGTCTTCCTTCATAGGGTGGG